CCTTGACGTGAAGTTCCCGTAACCCGCAAAACGTTGTGTTTTGGACCAGTCTTTTGAATGTCCTGTAGTGGCCATGTGTTCAGCGAGCTCAGATTTTCTGACTCATACCTTAACAGGCGGTTTTGTGTTTGCATAGTCTCTTATGAATGGGTCGGCAGGTTTCCCCCACATGGACCTTACTACATGAGCACAAAACCTTGTAGCAGCTTTATCTAGAAAAAGGGTTTGAATATTCAAGAAAGTGTTAATTCTTCTTTATACATTGTTTTTATGTTTCACTTCCTCAGTAGATCACCCAACTTTTTCTCAAGGTGAAAAGAAGGCAAAATCAGGAAACTAGTAGAATTGTCCAATTGTTTATCCCGTCCCTGATAGCAGACCTCCCTCATCTTTTTAACGACAATTAATATGTAATTGTTTTAAAAGAGTATACTTCTCGAAGGTATGAAGACCAAGATGGTGTGGCTTTTTGCGTCGCTGCAGTTTTCTTTAGTTGTATAGAACTTATTTTACCTTGTTTTCGCAACTTGTTTATATTGGTAGAAAGACCTGGAGGAACTCACCTAGTCCGGAGTCAATAGTATGCCCGATAATTTCCAGAGTCGGACCGTGGACGCGGTACATTCCCAAACGTGTCGCCAGCATCGTCAGTTAATCTTGCCATTCTTACCACTACGCTAAAACTCGTCAAATAGACAAGTGAAGCCGAGCCTTTGACCAATTGTCTGCTAAAAAAACATAAATTTTGTGGTTCAACATTAAGCACAATCAGAGCAAGCAGTATCCCAACATTTGTGGGTTGGCAGACAAGAGACTAGGGCATAGGAAGTCATAGACCTAGTATTCCGGATAGGGACAGGATAGATGCGGCGGAGACTAGAGCTAGTTGGCTAACAGTAGGCCTGTTTTACCATAAACGTGGTCCATGAAGCAGAGGCTTGATAATGAGAATTATTTGGGGTCTTTAGCCTCAAGTTAGTGTCCAAGATGCAGTGTGGGAAATGACACCTCGAGTAATACAGGTGAGGTGGCATGGGTAGAGTGAAATACTTGAATTAGGGCGATAGCAGACGGATTCTACACGGCATGAGGGAGACTGATAGCACCTAGGGAAGGAGAACTGCGTAACAATATGGCGGACTCTGATCAACATTCCCAGCATAAGAGTAAAGAGGTGAGAAAACCAGCGTGGTGTGTGGGAGTTCTCATGAAAGCCGCTCTAAAGGGCACACCATTCCACATTTAAATAAGCAAGTAAAAATTGTGATAGTGAAGGCGTGATACGAGGATTTATGTAAGGTGAATAACCCATGACAGAAGGAGAGAAACCACAACTGTTTAACACACATTTGGTCAAAGGGTTGACTTCACTTGTCTCTAACGCGTTGTACTGGGGTGATAAGAGTGGCAAGACTCACTGACGATGCCGACTATGATGCCGGCTAAACGTCTGGAAATCTATCACGCCCACGGTCCGACTCTGGAAATTATCATGCATGCTAGGGACTCCTGACTAGGTGCGTTCCTCTAAGTCTTCCTACCAATACGACCAAATCGCGAAAAGAAGATCAAACAATTAGTATACTCTTCAACCTACTAATCTCCTGGTCCCTATCCTATACTCCTGCTAGACGTAGACTCATTATTATCAGACTATATAACTCATATTTTTAATCCCTATGTATGGCTTCCAAATAAATTAATAAGGAAACGTGAGAATTATATACACACAAAAGACAATAGCACAAGCCCAAATATTAGTCAACATTTAAGGATCGTACACCAGTTTATTTAAGTAAGGAAGCAGTAAGGAAGGCAATGCCTGATATCTGCAAGCATGGGAATCAGAGCCCAGACGCTCTGCTAGGTGGGTCGGCAATGTACGTGCTTCTAGGGCGTTGAGAAATAGCGCCTGGAGTAAAACGCACACGGAGACTGGAACTAAGTGAAATCGGTCAACCAGAAAGATAAGAAACGGACCTACGAGACCATGACCGGATAAGCGGACCGAGTCGGATTAGCTGATCAAAGGAGAGGGGGTCGGGGTAAATAGCAGGTGTCATGAGGCCACACTAGATTTGCCACATAAGGTCACACATTTTGACGAATGGAATGTAAACAAGTCAGAAGTTGTGATATGGCGGGAGTTGGATAAGAGGATAGAGAGTTGATAGATGGGCCAGGACACCGACACTCAATTATGACCACAACAGGGGAACCATAAAACTCACGACTTATAAAGTAATCTTTTTTTGTTTAGACTAATGCTTGTTAAAATATGGAAATTGAGATTTTCTGACTAATTCCGACTTTTAAATTTTGAACCTCGGTTTTCGGGCATGAAAGCTTAAACGAATTTTCATGCTTAGATGAGACAAGTGAATTATCCACCATATTTTCTCCAATGCATCACCAAATTGTACTGCACTAACGGCTATTTTGTAACCTTATTTTGTTGCATTGATGCTGTACTATCCAGAATGTGCATGTGAATCTGCCCGTACCTCACTGCCAACCAGCTCGGGGACTGCTGCCCATTATACTCAGCCGCCTGCACGGTAGTCTCCAGCTGCGTCGTCAGGAGACTTGGCCCACAGCTCTTCGCCTTGCTGCCATGCTCATACGCATTTGGCCATCACCAACATTTGAAACTCCCCTCAAGCAAGTAAAGCTAGAGCAGGCAGAACAGGAGGCAGATGGTGATGAGAAAATGAAGTCACTAGAAGTTAACGACGATGAGCAGATTAAATTGTCAGTAGATTCTGAGAGAACGGTTAATAAACTACTAGTGCCGCGCCTTTTGCCGGATGCGATCGTCACGCTGCTGCGTTTTATTGGCCAGTTGCGAGACAGTCTGGCTGTCCTTGAGGAAGGCACAGGAGAGGCAACCAAGTCTGGCATCAAGGATCTTCATCTGGATCTGGTGGCTGAAGAAGCTGATCGTGTCGTGCTGGTTGCTTTGGAGAGCTGGGGCCTTGAGCCAGTTTTACATCAGGCCCTTCCTTTAGAGCCCCTGTTGCAACAGTTGTAAGTATAGTCTATAGCCATTACACATTACATTTAAACTTGATTCGCCCTCTAGATATTGTGTTATTTACCAAGAGAGCTCTACCAACTGCTACTACTACTATTACTGAACGAGCAGATCAAATGGCACTGGATTTTATACTGACTCATCAGCATAATGCCTAATTCAAACGCGACATCTTTAGGCCTTAGCCTCTTATGAATACCTTTCTTGATGTAACAGCTTATTTTACCTAAATCCATTCTAAGCTGCATCGCTAGCTCAATTTTAAATTTATATCGAATTTC